CAAGTTACAAATAGGAAACTACATCACATTATGGTATTCAATGTATTTTATAGAATAAAATGTTTGTTTATAAAGTTTGACTGGCCACACAATTTTGTACCTTTTTTATTTTGTATAATGTAACAGTTACCTTGATGATTATATGTATCAATAAGTGGTGCGTGCTGTAGTGAATGCTTTTTATTATCAAAATAAGTAATGAATTATTAATTTTTGATAATAATACATGTATTATTATCAAAAAAATGCATTACTTATTTTGATAATAAAAAGCATTCACTACAGCACGCACCACTTATTGATACATATAATCATCAAGGTAACTGTTACATTATACAAAATAAAAAAGGTACAAAATTATGTGGCCAGTGAAACTTTATAAACAAACATTTTATTCTATAAAATACATATGGTAAATAGGGGTTGGTTTAAAGGAAATAAAATACAAAACAGATAATTAATTATTTTGATAAACATTACATAGAAAGGTTATAGGATTGATTGAACTAAAATAACTGCAGGGAAACTTATTGAACTTGTTGAAAGTAGAAAAGTCTTCAACCACTATCTGTTTAATCAGTACATTGTTATAGAGAGAGAGAGAGAGAGAGAAAGAGAGATAGCAGATAGGGGCGTTTGATAAGGAATCTGAAAAAGTAAACAAACAAGGAACAACGACAGGACGATACTGTTTACAGCCTTATTGTGTCGCCCACTACATTTGCACACGTGACCACTTTTTGTTTCTTCCTTATCTTTCATCCGTCCCAAAATAGAATTCCTGAAATTGTTTGTTGGTATAATCTCCCCTCCCACACAAGGCGCAGTGCTCAGTGCGCACTGTAGGTTGTCACGGCAACCATGTGTCGTCATAGCGACTAGCCAATCACGCACTCGCACTGCGTTGTATATTACGATACGAATAGCTGTTAGAAAGACAACGCGATAGGTGGTCGTTTGTCTCTTTCCTATCTCCTCAAAATTACGATCGATAATCATTGCGTCTTGACTGAGCTGAGGTTCGTGCTTATCAAACCTCGAATGCATGAACAACGTAGATTTGTGATAACATTGTTCTCAATTATGACCCAAATTAAGTGTTTTGACTTAGTATAAAAGCTCGGCTCGAACTTCGAGCTTTTTCAAAATGCCTCGAGTCGAGCCGAATAATGAAAAGCTCGACCAAAAAGCTGAAGATTCGAGTACTCGCACACCCCTAATTTACTGTAAAGGGCTCCGAGACTCTCCCATTTACTTTTACTGAACATGTGGAATTTGCTACAGTTGTTCTAGCAAGGTTTATAAGTTTGGCTGGGATTCCAAATTTGTCCATCTTTTTCCACAGTTTCTCTCTATTTATGCTATTTACGCTTTTTGGAAATCAATAAATATTGGAAAAAACTCCCTATTAAACTCCCAATACTTGTGTTGTTAAACTCCCGATTCATTGTGGATCTGCCTTTCATGAAACCAGCCTGATGATCTAAGATTAGTTCATTTGTATATTCTTCGATCCGATTTAATACTATCTTTGATAAAACTTTGTACGGTACCTATGCTAAGGAATGATATGCCTCTAAAATTACTACATTCTTCTTTCTCTCCTTTCTTGTGAATGGGGACTACTATTGCTTCCCTCCATTCTTCTGGAATTTCTTCTCTCTCCCAGATTATTTTAATCAGTTCCCAAAGCTTTCCTATTACTACTCCCCCTCCCTTCTTCAGTATTTCTGCTGCTACCCCATCTCTGCCCGGGCCTTTATTGCTCTTTAGAGCTTTGACTGCTGCTTCGACTTCTTCTCTGGTTGGTGCCTCAACCTTTGGTTGAACGTGATAGTATACGTCATCGTGTGGTATTAACTAGTATATTTAAAAAGATTATAACGCATTTAAATGTTTCTAATTTGGAAAAGTAACGTTTTAATATTAATCTAGCTTTTTCCCTATCATAATATAAAAATAAATTATTTTCCTATTCATAGAACATTTGTGTGTGTTATTTTCAAAATGCATTCATTCTGAAGTAAACATAAAATACAAGAAAATACTTCCTTTAAACAAAACAGTTCAGTATGGTTTTTTAAATATTTATGTTATCCAGCTACAATTTATTGATTTTCAAAATACACACACGATATTTTATTTCAATCATATTTGCAGTTAGAACCGCGCCAACTTGAAATACGAGAGCTTGACCAATACAAAAGAAACATAAAAACTGCTAAAAACGCAGCAATTCATTAATTGGTTAATTCATTTTTTGTTATCAAGTTTTATTTATGAAGTATTGCAATATTTTTGGTTATTAATGTCAATATTTCAAAATCAAAATATGAAAATGAAAAACGGATCATGGAATTGAGTTTAGCTTAAAAAAGTAGTTCGAAATGATAGGTCACAACCCCCCCTTCATATTTGAAATAATTTATCACATTTCAAAATGGCAGATCCAAGATGACGGCCGAAAAAAATTCATCAGTCATAACCAAGTGAAAATAGGTCGACAATAACTGGTAGTGTATACTTATCTTTATCTAGCACTATTTTGAGATTATGGTCTTAGTTTGTACATGCACAATGTTAAAATGGGCTAAAAATAAAGTTTTAAAAATCCCTCACAACTTTGGAATGAATCAAGATTTTTAAAAACGGTTTGTGGCATTGTAATCAGGGCAAAAATTTAGTTGGAAATCATGGGTCACAACCCCACCTTTACATTTGAAAAAAATATTTTGCATCCAATATGGCGGATCCAAGATGGCGGCCGGAAATTACCACCTTGTCAAAATGAAGTACTTACTACCCAACAATGTTTGGAAGTGGTCTGGGATTGATATTTGAAAAAATGTAGAAAAAAGTTGGGGGGGGGGACAATTAAAACTCACCCTGTATATATATATACATATATAAAAATTTGAACGAATGGTGTTTTTGGCCTCTGGGGACATCAAAATGAAAAAGTAAATCGGTCCCGGGTCTAGGTCTTACCGTGCCACCTACGGTAATAGCTACTTCCCTATAGGGAAATTCGCTAAAAGTGCCACATAACAATCATTATTTTAAAACTGCTTGAGTCACCTGTTCAGGTTACATAATCAATGGGTAATGGGTATAAAAATAAACATTTTTAGATATTCCTTAAAAAACAAAGAGTTGTTAAATTTTGAATTTCTTTCTTTAATATTTCCATACCGGGACTTGTTTTCCTTAAATGTACAGATATTTATTTCCTTGACCACACCAACTTCCTTTGTACCATAAAATTTAACGGTATATTTCTTCAGGTTTTTTGATGAATCAATATTATTCAAATTCAAATAATCTTTATTTGTTAGTAGTATACAATACATACATAAATAGTGTCAAATATACAGGTATTGAAAAATGAAAAACAAAGGTTTCTTAGAATTAACAATATAGGCTATGCAAAATTTGACATTACCTCCTACAACTCATCGAAAGAATATATAGCTTTGCTGATGAGGTACTGCTTCAATTTAATTTTGAATTTTTTGGTTGACACCTCATCTGTTATGCTTTTTGGAATTTTGTTATAAAATTTTGAACCAGCATATTTAGGTTTCTTTTTGAAAAGTTCCAGAGTGTGATAGCTCTCATTGCGATACAGCCCCGATTTCTGGTGTTATATTCATGATTGTTACCGATTAGCTCCAATTCCTGAAATCTATTTTTTATGGATAAAACAGTTTCAAAAACATACATTCCATAAACAGTCATTATGTTTTCTAATTTAAAATAATCTTTAACTGATGTTCTGGGTTGTAAATTACGAATAATTCTAATGGCTTTTTTTTGCATTATCAAGATAGAGTTTAAGTTTTCTTTAGTAGTTGCACCATAAAGAGATAGCCCAAATGATATCACTGAATGGATGTAAGAGAAATAAACAACTTTTAGAGATTCTTTTTCACAAAAATTTTTCAACCTAACCAATGCATAAAGGCCAGAAGAAATTTTAGTGAGTAATTGTTCAACATGACGGTTCCATTTAAGTGTACTTTCTATTTCTAATCCTAAAAATTGTATGCTGTCTTTAACCTCAATTTTTTTATCAAATATGGTAACATTAGGTTGAGTTATATTTTGAGCTGATCAAGTTTTAAAACAAATAATATTAGTTTTTTCAGGATTTAAAAGCAAACTGTCGGCATTAAACAATTTTTTTAAGAGAGTTAGGTCGGAATTAATTTTAATTTCTAATTCAGCAACGGTTGATGCAGTGATTTTCAAATTGGTGTCATCAGCATAAAGACAAAGTTTACTGAAATCAAAAAGCTGAGGGAAGTCTCTAAAATAGCAAATAAATAAAAGGGGACCTAAAATGGATCCCTGTGGCACCCCATATTTAACTGCTGTAATATCGGAACGATAAGGGATTTTATAATTTTTGTTGTTATGGTAATTAATTATAAATTTTAGCTGGCCAATAGGGATATCCTTTCACTTTTGCAAAAACCCTATCACCAGTTTTGAGTTTATTTTCTGTTTTGTCCATGATTTATAGTCAAAATGTATTGCATTTATTGACGATTGTATTTAAAATGTGACCATAAGAACCTTGTGAAAAAAAACAAAATTTAAATAAAAAATACCCAGAATAGGGGAAAAAGGGATAAAGTTACAAAAGAATCCCAAAACAGGGAAAATTGGGATTTAAGCTTATTTAGATATCCCAGTCAACAAGTAATAATTAAGCAGTTTCCTTCTGCGATATTAGGCAATTGTTGTGAGCCCAGTGTAGATAAGGGTGACCAAAGTCCAAACACTGACCCTTCTTATCTGAGTTGATAACCAGATCTTGAATATTTTTACCAATCTATGCAGGTAGATTTAACCGGTTTTTACATTGTTATATGATGTTATATGGTGTTTTTTCATTGTTTTGACCTAAGGAACAAATATATGATAGCGTTCCAGAGAGTTTGTATATGTTGGATTACAGTGGGACAACAGATCCATTAATGTCTGTTTCTGTTTAGGTATGGAGCGTCCCCAGGCCAGCCAGCTGCGGCAATGACATCTCGGTTCTCAGCTCAGCCATCTCCTACCTCCAACAACCCCTACACCAAGCCTGGTACTTCCAACTTTAGGCAGTAGACACAGTGTCTTTAAACTAGACTGATCTATTCAAACTTGAGTAAAAATGGATGACTGTGGATGTCAGGAGCAAAAAAGTATTGACTTTTAAAGATAATGTCTATGTGAATGCGGTTGTAGACTGAGCAATCACAGTGAAAGGCTTGCATGTTAGTGTTTAAATGAATGCAATTATTTCAACTTATAAGTTATTCAATATCAAGTTACTGGATCTAGGGAATTTAAATAAAAATATATTTTATGTATGGAAGTCAACTTATTCCAGAGCATTTAGTTAGGTTTGTTTTTTATGTTAAATTATTTCCCACTAAGCACGCATCAAGCAAGCATCATCAAATAATGATCCTAAACTTGTACTGTGTGATAACGCAAATAAATGTATAGTAAAAGGTTAAATTTGTACCATTTATCAAAAGTAATCAAAATTAACATTCTAAACAGTTAACTGAGAGTTACTTTATATTGTCAAAAAATATGTCTTCTCTGTTTTTTATTATTGATATTTATGAGATTTTTATATGGTAGGTTTCCAACATTGAACTGTATAATTTAATTTTACTGTTACAATCGAAAAATACTAATAACCTTAGAATATGAAGATTTATCCATAATTATTTTGTTTTATTGTTATTTTCCTGTGAAATAAAACAATACTGTATAAATATTTTTTTATTTTTTACCTATTGGTTTTCAATCTAATCTATGTTTTAAATGTGTAAAAATGTATCATAAACTATTGCAGCTTTGGCAAGATTCTCCCAAAGCACAAACTTTAAATTTCTCATAACATGTTTCAATAATATCAGAAAAAGTTATCAATTAAGGTTTATTAAACAATTAGTTCTTGTAAATACATAATACAGAACTAATAATTTTAAATACAAGCTTGTTGTGTAGGCCCATACATCGGTGTGAAGACTTTCCACTCCTAAAGCTATTATCAGTTTTAGAATAATAATTAACTTAGTGTAGTTGAGGCACTGACAAAGAATGCTGCTGAAAAGCAGTTTTTTCTTATCACTAACTTACTTACTTTGATACTTGTATTCTTGATCCTTGACTGACAATGTCAGATAGATCGCGTCATGTCTTTAAAATGTAAAGACTTGATTTATTTCTCTAAATAAGTTACTATAATAAAACTAATATTTACAACTACTGGTGGTATGGCGGACTTTTTTATTGAGAAGGGAAGAGTGGTATCTCATTCAGCTCCCCCAGAGAATATAGTGGCCTATTCACGAGGGCCTTATGTACAACTTTTTTAAATTCTTTCAAGCCCATCTCTCAAACTTGCGACGGCAGGGTGTTGAAGATTTTTATGGCCGACCTAGGGTAGGACTTCAAGGTCCGTTCGAGTCGACAGCGCGGAAGGTCTAAATCCTGAGCTCTTCGAGTGCTGTAGTTATGATGGTCTTCCCTTTTCATGAAGTCGCTCCTATTTTCTTTCAGGAGTGTGAGTATGTTGTAAACATACTGACTGTACACTGTGAGGATCTTCAGTTCCCTAAAGATAGGCCGGCGATGCTCATAATACCCAGATGATGTGATTACTCTGAGTGCCATCTTTTGAAGTAAGGGAACATCCCTTGTAGCAGGAGAATGCCCCCACAGTATCAATCCATACATCACGTGACTATGGAAGAGAGCATGATAAACCGTTGTAAGGTACGGCTGAGTTATTAAATCCCTAAGTTTCCTTAGAAGATACAGCACTCTGAGACAATGTGCTTTCAAATCAAGCCAAACTAAAATAAAAACTTATTAAAATTTAACTTTTATGATTTTCAACTAACTTTTATTTTCATCAACTAATTGTGTTGCAACAAACTTTTAGAGAAAATATGACTTAGGTAGCCCATAAGAGAATTTTAACAGTTAGTGTATCTGTTGCTAAAAATCGAGCAATTGTCAAGCACCGGTATCATCCTGGAGTTATTTTAAAACTAATAACAGTCATAATATTTCTATAAGTGTTAAGGCCCAATTAAAAGCTTATGTAACTAATGGAAATACCGGGTACTCACGCTTTTAATAACAGTTTGATATAATAACCACTTCAGTAAATATTTGATCATTTTTTAGAAGCTGGCATTGATTTTTAGTGTTTTGTACAAATGTTTCCCAACTTAGGCTTACCCGTAGCTGTTACCAGTAAACACTTCTTGCATGTATTAACTTGATCTGACGTTAGGCAAGGTAACTTTACCACCGTGACAACACGATGTGTATATTCGTCATGTATTTTTTTCACTTCCAAAGTAAGTTGCATAGCAGAACTGGCAATTATTATTCATCTCTGCAAGTGCATGGTGGAAGGAAAAAACATAGGTGTGTTATTCCCGTCATTTGCTTATATCACCCAGATTGCAAACACAATTTCACCATTTAGAAAAAATTAAAAAAATAACAATCAAATCAAAACAAATATATACTTATATGGCAATACAATCAGGTGATTTTTGTTTGCAATCTGGGTGACGTCAGCATATGACGGGAATAGTACACCTATGTTTTTTCCTTCCACCATGCTCCAAGTGAGTGTGGAATCTGGATTCCTTAATGTTAGACCAGGCCTCTCTTCTTCTACTCTTCTCATTCCCATAAGATCTCTTATCCGTCTCCTCCTCCTGTTTTCAATATTTCTTCTTTGAACTCGAGGCATTTTCTGTTCATCCAACAAAACTGACTCCTAAATATGACAAACATCAATATTTACTCATTAAAAAGTTGCTGTGTTTCTTTTTGTAAACAGCTCAACAGCTGTTTTTTTGTTTTTTGATTTGTTATATGTAATTGTTATGGGAAAAAATCAACCTTTGAGAGCACCTTGCGTCCTTAAGGGTAGACATTTTTAGATTCTAAGATCTTATTGCAAAACTATAAATTGAGACAAATTTTTTGACACCTCAAACGTTGAAATTGGTCCACAAATAAAAAAGGAATAGTGTTCACAAAACACCATGTTTGGAAGGAAAAAACAGGTGTGCTATTCCCACATATTCTGACGTCACTCGGATTGCAAACAAAAGATCACCTGATTGTAACTGTCAAATTAGTATATGTATTTGTTTTGATTTTGATTGTTATTGTTTTTATAATAATAAAAACAATAACAATCTATATATATGATTCCGTAAGTCAAATTTTTGTAAAGAAATTGTGAGTGACTGGATGGCCGTAGAAGGATGGGAGGGGTCTTATTTTAAAGGTCTTGACGTGAATTTTGAGGGAAAACTATTCATTTTTCTTATTTTTTTACCATAAATTCGCAACAGAATAAAACTTTTCCCATTAAAACAACATGGGGTTTAATTTGAAATTAAAACAGCTGTGCCACAGATTTGAAAACAGTGATCAATACACGCATTTGGTTTACTTTTAGCCAGTCAACTATGAAATGTATACTATAATAAAACTGAAATATTGAAGATTAGTCGGAAAAACGTCTGCATTCTTTGTTTATATTTAAATCATATACTCAAGTTTCATTTTTTCATGCTTTTTACGTTATTGTCGTGTTAAAGGAATAAACGACATAGAATAAATATTCTGTATAAATAATCAAAGAGTCTAAATTAAATCTAACTTCTGTTTTGTTTTTATTTTTAAATCATATGTTCAAGTTTATTTTAAATGATGTTGTTTTCTTTATATTTCTACACATTTTAAGGTTAAGGTTGTGTGAATATATACAACTAAAATAACCTATAAATGTTATTGGTTCTAAAATGGTGTATTTGCATTCCTTCGTAAGTAAATTTTTTTAGTGCAGTGAATATACAACGTAGAGTAGTCATATTCGATCATACTTTTATAAAAAACACCAGGGATTCAAGATGTTTTGGTATGTAGGCTGCTGGATATATATTCTTTTCATTATAAGTACTGTAATTAATATGAACGCCAGGGGAATACCACAAAGGCGGGGAACTGTTCATAGGAATGACAGTGCGCGTAGGAGAGCAAGAGTAGATAATGACGAACTTAATCAAGATATGTTACAACCCCTTTTTAGGAGACCCATGGTAGACGAGAGAAATGTAAATATTCATGATGCAGGATTACTGGACCAAGAGTGCATTCAATGTAGTGCTCTTCATTTTAGAGAAGAACTAACAAATAATCATTTTATGACATGTTGCCATAACGGACTTATTAACCTTCCTCAGTCAAAAACTAATGTAGAACTTAAAAGTTTGTTTGAAGAGAGCCCACAACTGTATTCATTCGACAATGCAACAGTGCGATGGCTTTTGCTTATTTTTCAGCCAGTAAGAAAGATATTCCAGGAAAAGGACCATACTGTTTCAAAATTCAAGGACAGATTTATCGTTCAATCTCAGATTTGCTGCCTCAACATGATGAAGACCCCGTGTATGGCCAATTGTACATTATTGACACATCAACAGCAACAGAAATTCGTCAAAGGCGTCGAGAAAATAGTGACTTAAAACCTGAAATATTGTCAAAACTAGCTGAAATTCTATTAGAAAATCCATTTGCACAAATTTACAAAAGAGCTTTGGAAGAAATGGTTGTACAAGGTGACAGTGAATTAGAATTTAGGTTTGTAGACAGGATAAATATGGATCGTCGTAGGTATAATAAGCCTACTGCAGATGAAATTGCAGGCGTCTTCAATTCATCTGAAGGCGAACCTCCAATGAATTTTTAAAATTCCAAACAGGGAAGCTTTTATTTATCCTCATTAACCACAAGACCAAAGCTACCTTAGTAAACCAGTATTTATTCACAAACAATGATATGTTTGCCTTTTCATGTTAAACCACTGGAGTGATTCAAATTATTTATTGAAAATGACATCAACAAAAGCAAACAAAGAAGAACAACAAACTGGTTTTTACACAAAAGATATGGTGTAGGGATGCCTATTCTGACACATAGATAATGTTATTCTGAGTTTGTTTAAATACCGGTATTGCAAAAAGTTGTTTCACATTTGAGCTTTTTAGGGACTTATGTCCCTACAAGCCACTAGTCAAATACTAATTTGACAGTTACAATCAGGTGATCTTTTGTTTGCAATCCGAGTGACGTCAGAATATGTGGGAATAGCACACCTATGTTTTTTCCTTCCACCATGACAAAACACGGTTTCACGTATTATAGATATATATATAGATAGATGTTCTTTTGTGTAGAGAACTAGCTACAGCTGCTCAATGTGGATGGGAAACTATTCAGAGTCAATGGTATAAGTATGACATACCAGTTATAGGAATGAGTATGCATGTACTATTAGTCCAAGAGACCGACCAGTGCCAATTTGCTGACAATGAAAATTACCTTAAAGATTTCCTATTTTGCATTTTAGTGGAATTTGAAAAATGTGTTGAACCCATATTGTACAACTGGCCATTGCCCAATCTTAATAAGTCTCTGCTGCTTTTATAATAAATAGAGTAAAATGTTCCTACGAGATTTTAGGAAGGCAGTTCCTACTAAATCTTGCCTAAGCGATTTTGATGAATCCCAGCCAAGGATGCACTTTGGATTTGGAACACAGGTTGTGGTGGACCTGGGATAATCAACAATTTTCCCTTGGGTTACCTTATCTAATCTAGTGTTGTTGAGAGCAAGAAACTATCGAGGGCTTGCTAATTGAGCCATTTTACA